CCAACCTCTTTATGGCCGAATGGGAAGAGAGATACATTTGGAGTGGACATGGCTGGACGTCAAACCTGGTATCCTACTCCAGATACATAGATGACCTTATTTTTATCTGGAAAGGCCCTATAAATGATGCACATGATTTTATACATATATATATTAGTATATTGATTGCAAGCTATGCAATTATATCCTTCTTTTTTAAAAATATGTTCCAGAGATCCTCCTTTTTAAAAAAATATGTTCTAGAGATCTTTATAGATTATGTTTTAATTCATGATGCCTTCTATCTTCGTATACATATTTTTGTGCAAAAAATTTTTTCAATCTGCTCCAAATATGTTTGTTTAAATTATGATAAACTGGCAACTATCACAGATACTGCTTTTATGTTGGTAAGGTAATACTGATTCTAGTATCAGCTTGCGTTCCACAGATGGAACGCATACAATATCATGGTCCCACCGCGCCGCGTCACTTCCGGCATGACGCTTGCGTTCCATAGATGGAACGCATACAATACCACGGTCCCATTGCGCCGCGTCATTTCTGGTATGATGCGTGCGTTCCACCGGTGGTTTAATAGGAAGTATTCCCCGCTACTACATTGGTCAATATGACGCCGTGTCACTTCCGGTATGACGCGTGCGCGCCAATTTTGAAACCAGGAAACAGTAAGTGACTGATATTTCACAAATGAAGCCAATTACTTGGAATATAATACTTTATATATTTGGACAATACCAGGTCTTTGCCCACACACTTCTGAGGAAGCCTTTTTAGGTGAAACGCGTAAGGTGGACTTTTTATGGACTTTTCTATAGAGTGATAGTTTTATATATATTCTGTTTTTATTGTTTTATGTTCAATACATAGCTATTATACTTTTATCACTCTTAGATACCATTTTATTTTACATTTTTAATTTCCTGGTTGTCATCATATCCTATGGTGGGGATTATACCACCTATGCTTTATAATCTAGAGTGAGGGACGCTCTAGTACATGTATAAAGGGTGCGGTTTCCTTCTGTTTTTTTGTTCTCATTTGTCTAATATACTTCAATCGACATCAGTCCCTGTGATTCAGGAGCAGGTGTGTGAGCCATTACATTTTTAAACTCCAATCAGGAGGGTATAGTTCTAACCTCAGAAATCAGTGATAAAGAAATCACATATTTAGATCTAAATATTTATATTAAAAATCGTGCAATCAATACTAAAACCCATTTTAAAGACGTCCATGTAAATAATTATATTAATACTAAGAGCTGCCATAATAAGGCCTGGCTCAATAGTATCCCTAAGAGTCAAATAACCAGACTCAGGAGAAACTGCTCAGACAACACAACTTTTATACAACAGGCTAATACAATTAAAAATAGTCTTATAAATAAAGGTTATGATAAAAAGCAGATTGAATCTACTATAATACAAACATCAAAAATTAACCAAAAGGATCTTATACACAGAAAAAAAACGTATCAACAAAAAAAAGTAGTCTTGCCCATAATATTAGATTACAACGACAAAAATAAGCACTTAAGAAAAATTATGAACAGACACTGGCACCTTTTAAAAGAGGATCCAATCCTCAAAGATATAATCCCTGAAAGACCACAAATTGTCTTCAGAGGGGCTCCAAATTTAAAAATGCATCTGACAAAAAATTACACGAAAGATCAAATAACAACGAAAAATACAATGAACCTTTTACCCCTTACCAATGGTTTTTATAAATGCAATAAATGTGTAGCCTGCAAAAAAACAAAACCAACAAATAAAAGAACGTCTACTTTTAAATCAAATAATACCAACAAGGTATATAATAT